TTCAACATATTTCTTCTCAAAGACAAAGCCTGTAACCCTTTCTCCCACCGCAAACTCAACATCATCAAAGAACCGAGCATTTCCTGTCTCGAAAATTGCCTTAGTTGTGGGATCATAAAACTTGTAACCCCTGGACCTTTCAGAATATCCAATAAAATAGCAACTGATAGTCCTTGCGCCCAGTTTCTTTTCATTTGGTTTATAGGGCTTTGCCTCAACTAGACACCCCCAAATATGTATATGCTTCAAACTAGGTTTCTTGCCCATCCAAAACTCATATGGGGTTTTATCAGTGGCCTTAGTTGGAACTCTGTTGAGTATATAAGTTGCGGTCTTTAATGCTTCACCTCAGAGAGATTCTGGTAAGGTAGAATGACTAATCATACTCCTCACCATGTCCTTAAGCGTTCTATTTCGTCTCTCAACAACACCATTCATAGTGGGCGAACCCGACATAGTGTATTGTGGGACAATACCGCATTCCTCTAGGAATTTAGCAAATGGTCCTGGAAGCTGTTCACCTGAACCGTCATATCTGCCATAGTATTCACCCCTACGGTCAGATCTGACGCTTTTAATCATTTTGTCGAGTTGGTTCTCAACTTCAGTTTTATAGTTTTTGAACACATCCAGTGACTGTGATTTTTCATGAATGAAATATATTTAGCCATATCTTGGAAAGTTGTCTATGAATGTTATAAAATATTGTTGACCATTCCAAGAACCCGTAGGGAATGGTCTACAAATATCCGTATGTATAAGTTCTAGGAATTTCGAAATCCTATTGGCTTGAAATCTCCTTTTATTGGTTTGTTTTCCCTTTATACAGTTGACACACAAATCATAATCTGTGAAGTCAAGAGGGTCGAGAATCCCGTCTGACACAAGTCTCTCAATTCTCCTTTTGGAGATGTGACCTAATCTCTTGTGCCACAACGAGGCAGAATTCTCGCCGTTTAATTTTTGCTTTACATCTCGAGTAGTTACATGCAGGGATTCATTAAAAGAAACAATTGTATCAGTTGAATAAAGATTATCGTAACCTGATAAAGAACCGGAACCAACCAATTTTGAATCATGAAACAAACTAAATTTTCCATTTCCAAATGAACAAGTATAACCAAATTTGTCCAAAACAGAAATAGAAACCAAATTTCGTCTAAAAGACGGTACAATAAATGTCTCAATAAGATCCAAATAAAATCCAATTTTTAACAATAATCTAAATTTTCCTATTGCCTCTACTTCCATTCTTTTGTCGTCGCTAGCATAGATGTATCTTTCACCATCACTTGATTTTCGGCAAGTCGGGCAACCCTGCATAGACATACTGATGTGAGTTGTTGCACCATAATCTATCCATCATGTATATCTAGGTACCGAAGTTAAATTAACCTCAGAACAAATCAAATGAAGAAGAATACCTTTCTTTACACGCCATGCGTGGTAATTGGTGCAATTCTTCTACTTATGACCTGCAGCTCCACAGAACAAACAACCACCTTTAGTTGGTTCCTTATGCTATTTCTTTTGCCGTGTCGTACCCGCAACTTCCTTATTAATCTTCCTTTTATTGTTCCTTTTGTCCTTAGAGGTGATGGCCAAATGAGCACTTTCTGTCTTCTCATACTTCAGTCTTTCCTCTTCCTGGACACAGTGTGAGATGAGCTCATTAAGGAATCATGAGTCCTTTTGACAGTTGTAGCTCACCTTGAATTGACTGAAATGTGTCGGAAGGGATATCAGAACCAAGTGCACTAACAAGTCTTCAGATAAATCCAACTTGAGTGCCTTTAGTTTTGAAGCAATGTGAGACATTTCCATAATGTACTCCTGAATGTTTCCTTTCCGTTTATACCTCATTGAGACAAGGTTCGCCAAAAGTGTACTTGTTTCAGCTTTTTTGGCAAATCTCTTCTCAAGATCTTCAAGGAAACCTTTAGCCGTAGTTACCTTATCGGACATAGTGCCCCGGAATGCTTCTATAATAGCACGCTTCATGACCATTAAGCTTATGTGGTTCGATCGTTCCCACTTTTCCATCTCCCTCTTGTCATCAGAGGTACTCT